CACGGGTTCACCCAGCCCCACGATAGAACGGCTTGTTGGTGAGATATGGGGCTTGACAAATCCCAGACAGACCACTCCAAAAAATTCTTGGGGTTTTTCGAATCGCCCGAATTCGATCACGGATCTCCAGAGCGATAGGCTAACGTGTTAACTGGCTCGACCATTCGACCATCAAATTATCTTTATAAAAATAAAGTGTAATTTTAAATTATTTTGTAAATATCTGCAGTAAAAACTTGTAAATAGATATATAAAATTGTGTTATAAGGCTGCAGGAACAGGTCCGCCGGTCCAGCCATGTCAGACCACTTTTTGCAATCAACGTTACCAATCAAATCACTCGCTAGCAAAGCAATACTGTCAGACTAAACCAATAGACTTTTCCATAGGGGAAGAGAGTTATACTAAGGCTTTTTCTCTCTTTTCCGGTAATACAAATATCTACTCAGGGAGATTTAGAAATTATGAAAGTTAAAATAAAGGTAAGTATTGAAAGTGAAATCTTCATAAATAAACTAGGAAACCATGGCCATAATCATGGGAACTGCTCTCCGTTTCTGGGCCGGATCACTTTTTCCTCATCCTACGGCCCAGTATAGTATGTCGGCAAATTAAAATAGCATATATGTCATTCTATTACATTATAACACATATATAAACATTTATAAATTTAAGTATACCTTATAAGAGTAAGGATTTCATAATAAAAGTTTGATATAAGCCTAAATTAGAGACTCAAAAGCTTATTTAGACTCGTGGAAGGATTTTGAAACAAGATTAAAACAATCTGAAATATCGAAGAAAAAGTTGAATTTTGAAGAAAATTAAAAAGTAAGGAGTTGATAAATTTATAATTCTTCGAAAAATTTTGTAGCACTTGGCTCTGTTATCACCACCAAAATTCTAAATAGAACTGAAATTCACTAATGTTTTTGTATAATTTCTAGAATTTCTTAAACATACTCAATTTAGTCATTGTAATATGTTTATAAACTGTATCTTTGCAAAAATTTATTATATTTTTTATTATTTAAAGTATATTTATATTAGTTATGCATTTTAAATAAAATAATACTATACATAAAATCAAAGAATTATAATTTAAAATGATTTAATGTTTATCCTAATAGTGTTATTTATCTGTGTTTTTTATGTTCTTTGTTAATTTAAAAAATAAAATGTAATAAATTTTCTATTTATTATTGAGTGGAACAGTCAACGGAGAAAGAAATCCAAGGGGATAGCGATTATTTGATTTCGTCATCGCTTTTATTAATAAATTTATTTTATTCCTCTTCGNGTGCTTTTTTATGTTCTTTGTTAATTTAAAAAATAAAATGTAATAAATTTTTTATTTATTATTGAGTGGAACAGTCAACGGAGAAAGAAATCCAAGGGGATAGCGATTATTTGATTTCGTCATCGCTTTTATTAATAAATTTATTTTATTCCTCTTCGCATTTGGAATGTGCATAAGGAACGAATTGATACACTGCTCAGAATTTATATCATTGCACTTTGAACAGGAATTATGTAGTCTGCATGTTAGACTGCGAAATATTTTATTTCAAAATTACCGAGGTAAATACAAAATAAACGAATTTTATTATCTACGTATAATTTAATGTTGAATAGTATTGTTATCATAACATATAAAATTAATGATTGTAAGCTACCGTTTATTTTTGTAGCAATTCTGTAAAAATAACCGGTTTCTTTTTGTAAATGATGCATTATATTAAAAAGTCACCATTAATAATTCATCAGTTTATTTTTTAAATTAAAAAAAAATGTAATTTGCATCTGAATTTGCATCTTAGACCAGTGACGAGCACCCTTTTTTGGTCGCGGGCCGCAGATGAATTTCGTAAGTTTCCGACTGGCTACAAGTATTTTTCTTATGGAGTTTAATGCTTGAAGCCTGCTAAATTCTAATATATTCATAACAGCTATATTAGGTACTAAAATATATGCTAAGTAATATTTGCTAATGATATGCACACTATATATTACTAGTTTGCATATCATTAGCAAATATTACTCTCGTATTTTCACCGATCAAGTTTAGTCTGATTGTTCTTCGTCACGAAAACCAATTTAATTAGGGTTGCATATTGACACGAGGCAGTAAACAGGAAAATAAAATTACATTATCAAAGCTCGGGGGTCGCATATTGCGGGTCGCTTATGACTGTTATAGAATGTTAATAATATAAATTTCTTATTTATAAAGTCTAAGATTAACCAAATCTATAATCTTTATAATTTTCAATTCGTTCTTGCTACAATGAATAATTTTAGCATTTTACATACCAATGATTGACTGAATAAAAATTCTACCATATAAATTGTATTAAAACTGTAGAGTTGATTTCGAAATTATTAAATTGTATTGAATAATAGAAGTGGTAATTTATAAGAGAAAGTAGTATTTCCTAGAATAATTTATTTTTATCTCAAACTTGTTTCCTATTGAATAGAAGCGTGAAACTCATGTTAAATAACGTATGATAATTAATTGGAAATTATCTTACAAATAGTTATTAAATATTAATAATAATCTGTTAATCTTTTATAAGGAAAAAATTAAACTTTTGAATTACAACAAAGATTTTTATCCTTAACTTTAAGCTTTCAATATCAAAATTTATAAACTGGGACAAATTTTCTCCTAATACGTTTATAAGAATACATTTCGAATTTAATGTATATAAATATTCTAAGTAGCGCATTTCTGAATTAAAATTTCATGCAGTGTTATGAGATTGTTTTAGTAGCTTAAATATAACTTAAACTCTAGTTAAGTTAATAATAAAAGTTGTTTTAATTTTAATATCTCAACTTAATTTAAAAATTGTTTGAATATTCCATAAGATTAATTATCTATTTTCAAAATACCTGTTTTTTTTTATCTTTTTTAAACATGATCCATATACTTTCGAAAAATATTTGAAGATCCACATATAAAAGATCAATTCCCATTCGAGTAAAATTTTTCAGGATGGTAAAATTAAATAGGCATATGGATAAAAGATAAATTTTAGGTTTGAAATAAATTTTTCAGCATATGCTTCGATATTTTTATTAATTAATCATTGATTGAGATATAATATTTGATACCATTTGAAGATTGAAATCACCAATTATATATGTTATTTCAGATTTTCTATAGTGTTTGAATATATAAAAATTACAGTTACTATTTTGTTCGTAAGAAGATTCGTAGTATAAAGTAATGAAAAGATTTACGATCATATAAATTAATGATCTTAATGGAAAGATTTTGCTAATGTTTTCAATTGTTATCTCAGTGTTTTAGCTAATTTTTATGGGCTAGGGACATTAGTAAAGGCATCTGTCATTTAGAATTCCATATCCTAACATTTTTCCATATATATTTTGTAATATTCACTTGAATATTATATGGCCTATTTGGCATCTTAAATATTTTCTTTCTCTAGACTTTCAGTGGGTATATTTCATTTCAATAATTTAATGCTTTATGTACAGTACTATTTCAATTTTTTATCTATATGAAATAAATAGCATAGCACAAACTGTACAGTTTATAACTTATTCTCGGTTTGCTCTATATAAAATTATACGGGGTTTAAAAATAAAATCGTTTCTTAAATAAAATTATATGTAAATATTCTGAGAACAATTGAGAATTTTATATTGAGCCGTGTTCATATATCATCGGCTGAGAATTACAGTATCGTAACGCCATTTTCCCTAAAAATTTTGTTGTAATCTCCAATATACAATGTACGAGTATATCTTCGTATAACAAAATTCTTATGAAAAGTTGAGTTACACTCAACCGACCTTATATATCTACTAAATAACTTTAAATAACCTTATATAACTACTAAATAACTACCTTATATATCTAAGCTAAAAAATTATTTTATTTAAAAATATATAAAATCATTAAAAAATTTACAATAAATGCCATAACAAGTATCTTAAAATTATTATAGATTTTTGTGAAATTTTCTTGCATTTGATTGATAAAATGATTTTAATGCACACAAAAATATAAATTTTCGTTTTTAATTCTGGGATCAAAGTAAATTTAATTAATTAAAAGAATAAAAATTAGAATTTTAATTTCTTAAATTGAAAATTATTTAACACAATACTTTAATTAAATCCCGAAATAATAATATTTTATTTAAAAAGACAAGGAAATAATTTTAAAAATTATTCTTGAAACTTGGTAATATTTTTACGCATGAAATCATTTTATCCTATTATTTAAATATTTTATTTATTATTTATTTATAAATTAAAAAATAATTATATATTTTTAATACGCGTTTAAAATAATGTTTAGAATCGACACTAGGTGGCTAATGTTTGCCGTCGGCTGTAACTTTGGCAATGATAGTAAAACTTATCGCGTTTACGTTTATGAATAAACTTTATTAATCTTGTGTTAACATTTGTCCAAATTTATTTTAACGGTTATTTACATAAAATATCATACTTTATTTAATTTGAAAATAATAGTAAAATAATAAAAAAACATACACACACATTTGTACGTTGATTACGAATTTAAAATTATTTAAAAATTGTTAATAATTATTAATAAAATATTAAAATATTAAAATCGAAAGCTTAAAAAATTTCGTAATATTGTATGTACCTTTTAAGAAATTCGATCCCTCAAACGAATTCAAAGAATTATTATTTTATTTATGAATTTTATTATATATAGTTTAGTTAATGATAGTTTAATTACAAGGCAAGTTTGAAAAAAATTACTTTTCAATAAAAGCATTAAATTTAAAGATGAATAAAATAATTATGTGACGTCATATGTATCGTCATAAGAATGAACATCATTGCAGAGCGCAGGTGGTTTGCCGTGGTGCCAACTATCGAACGTCTTATTCATAATAATATATTTGAGTGTTTTAATTATAAAATATTTTAAAAAATGTATATTTAATTTGTATTATCGATTAATTAGATGTATCGAATATACATTGAAAAAATTAAGAAAAAAAATCTCTTACGCACAACAAAAAGGAGCGTATCGGAAGAAAACTATAAATAGACTAAGATAGAATTGATTTCAATTCGTGAATGAAAGAACAAGCGAAGAGACGTGACATACGTTCAATATTGAAAACATTAGTTTGGAATGAGTTGTATTAATATTCAATATATCTTGCGCGCGCTTTTTCTGATCATCTAACAATTGATGCAAGTTGCGTGGAATCAAAAACAAGCAATCGTACGTGACTCGTCACGTTTCTTTCCGTGATGGCTCCTACCCACAATCCTTAGCAGCCGTCCTTCCTTCGAAGTGCGGAGGGTGGGGATGGTTGGCTCACTAATTGCGGGTCGGTACAGTGCGTTACTATACACCAACCGATTACGAAAGTAGTAGTTTACCAAAAAGAGCAGACAAACCGAAATCTCATTTTCCCATCGATTTGGATGCGCTGAGTCCCATTAGGACGGAACGAGACCCTTCTGAGGGGGGTTTGGTCGGGTTTACGACAGTTCCCTGATGTCATGGGTTGCTTCGGTGGTTCGAGTACCAAAAACGATGCCGAAGAGGATAAAAGGAGGAAGGAAGCCAACAAGAAGATCGAGAAACAGATCCAAAAGGATAAACAAATTTACAGAGCCACACATAGACTCTTGTTATTAGGTAAGGTTAAGCCTGATGTTAGGCTTAGTGTTAGGGTTAGGAGTTTCGTTTTCATTCGAAATTCTTTCGGGTCCGAATACTCATTTGTTTATAAGTTATATAATAATAGATAGCCTATCACCCAGATACGAATATTCTGTTCAATTATTCATTTTTACACCAAACTAACGCCGCCATTCCTTAGCTGATTGTAAATAAGTTATTTTCAATATAAATTGTTTTTATTATCATTTAAATAAACTTTTCCCTTCGTTCTCGTTATTTTTACACCTAAGGAATTTTATAAGTTTCTTTTAAATAAATAATTATAAACAATAATGTCTTATATGCAACAGAAATGCCTGATTAGATGATCACTTGAAAAAATTCTATATATAAGCATTAAATTAAAGATCATAGGCCAAATATTTTATAAGCATCAGATCATAATTAGCCACCTTATATTAATGTGCTTCAAAGGATTAAGTAAGACCAGGAAGTTCCAAAATGATGGATTATCATATACAAAATACACAACAATCTTCTATTAACAATTGTATTTTTACTCATTTATATCATCTTTTATTAGATTTTCTACTTTCTCTATTTTATTATATAGACTAGCAGTAATTAAATTGTTTTAAATTAGTTTAAAATAATATAAATTTGAAAATAACATCATATATATGAGTATTATCATGGTTTATATATTGTTTTATAAATTGAACTTAAAATTTTGTCTTTCATAAAATTATTTTAAATGAAGGAAGTAATTAATTCGAATTAGTCATCAATTATCAAATTAAAAACAAATAGTAATTTATTTCACATATCAATAATATATTATAATGGAAGATTTTCAAAATTTTTATTATTATTGGTAAGTTTGCATTAAGTAATTCATATAAATAAAGTGTGATACTATGATTAGATCAATTCACTAGTTATTCATTCTTTTCTGTTAATATTTTTAGTATCAGTACTCCTTCAACTGTAGTATATTTATAAACATTTTAAAAAATTTTTAGGTCATTTCTAGGGAATTTTTAAAATTATATGAAGTTTATTATATTTATAATAAAGTAATATACAGTATAATAATGAAAATGCTAATAGAAGAGTTTAATGGAATGAATGAATACTTTACCATGCTAATATGTTTTTAATTTGTTTATATAAAAGAATCTAAGTGTAAAGAAGTTGGCTTCAGGTTACTTATTTCAAATGCTTGGAATTGTACTATAAGTTAATAAATAGGAAATATACCAAAAAATAATAGCTAGTTTTATAAAGATTTTTAAAATATACATATTACACTATGGATATGAATTTAGAATTAAATTAGATTAAGAAACAATTCAGTAATTCTATATTCACTTATAGAATATAAATATAAAACAAAAATTCTGATTTTATTACTTGATATATTAAAAATGATTCCTTTACCACGGATATGTTGATTATTGAATTTATTACTGTAGAAAATAGCTGCTAGACCATAGCATAAAATTATTCTGATTATTTTAAAATTATCATTAACTTTCTTTATTGTGTTTTTGACATTGCTCATTAAATCTTTAATCTTTTTTAGTACTATATGCAATGCTTTTTTCAGTTTTATTATTTTTAAGGAATTCTACTCCTTTTACAGATTAATCCTAACCAAACAATAGGAACTGTTTTTGCAATAGTATGATACCAGATGTTAAGATATTTACTCGATATTAAAAAAAGTATACGAATTTTTATTTGTAATTTTTAAGTAATTAAAAAATTATGGAAAATTCAAATATTTTATTTCACTTATAAATGCAGGTAACAAATGAATAGAATAATTAATATTTAAATAAATTAAAATATAATGTGAGTTTTTTAAAATTAACCTAACCTAACTTAAACAGAAATAAATTAACAGATTTATTTCATAAAATAATAATTTAGAGGTATTTTACTTAAAGTTAATATTGATATAATTTTGATGATGCATATATCCATTTATTCTAATATTTAGAAAATTTTATGAATGATTTTTAGGATTGCTTCCTTGATAATTTAATTAATTTTACTTACTATGGGATTTTTAACATAATTAAAAATTTAAGACATTGACTGAGTTAAAGTTATCACAGTAATGATAATAACAATGTAGTTATCATTATTATTAAAATTTGAAATTGAAATAATAATATCTATTTAATCAGAATTATACTCAGTTTATAAAAATTATTTATTATTGGACTTTTCAATTTAATATAATAGAATTTGAAATCTATTATATATGATCTTATCTCTAAAAAAATCACTTCTTTATCCTGAAGAGAAAAACCCATGAGCACAGGCTTCTCTGTTGAACACTGCTTGAGTTATACATGAAATACAGCTTAATGGGGCAAACAGTATCATTGTTATATGATTACAGAATAATAGTTTTTGAAAAATTAATTTAAATAAGTACCTGAAATTAAATAAACTTTCTAAAGAGCAAAAGAAATTCTGTTAATATTAATTATAACTAATATATAAAATCATGGATCAAGTTTATTCACGTACCATAACCCTGAATATATTAATGAGAATAATAATGATCCTAATAATACATAACTATATCTTATCGTATATGTTACTTTCTATTAGAGAATAACAATGTGAAGAACTATTGAAACATTTGCAGTTTATTCGTACTAAATTTTAAACGTTTTTATTATTATTATAGTTACTTTATAAACCTGTCGATATGAACTATTTGAAATATAGGAGAATTATTAATTTGAAAGTAATTTAAAAATTTTGTAATAAATCATGATTAAGTAGATTTAACTTCAGATAACTTTGTTAAATCCACGGGTTTAAAGAATAATAAAAATAAATAAAATTAGTAATCAATAATTTGTGACTTATGAAATCATTCATCAGGAAAATGGGAAAAGTTATTAACTAACAAAACAACTTTAATACAGTTTTTCTTTATACATGTTTTTGATTCTCAGGTACTGTCAATTATAAGATGTTGATCAATTTAAAGGTGCACAAAAACTTTTTTATTAACTTACAATGTTGCAAACATTATACATTTATCCAAATTACTGACACTTTTACTTAAATTTGAAGTGTTAAAATAAATGAGGGGAAAAAATTTATACTTTACAATGCTATTTCTGTATTCTTCTATTCACATAATGTTTACATTATGAATGCAACATTAAAATAAAAATTTTTGAAAACTTTTGATAACTAGTTTTGAAAACATTTAAAATGTTTCAAAACTAGCAAATAGAATCCAAATTTTAATTAAACTAAATATATGTAAAATGCTATATAATAATAATTTACATAACTGAAATTATAAGATGAACACGCATGAAGTTTTTTTTTGTTCTAAAATGATAACTATGTAACAACTTGGTCTTTTGCCTGACAACTAAGTTTCTTATGGCATCAACTGTAAGATGTATCCTGATTTCAGAAACATTAATTCTAAAATGCATACTTTTCATATTTTAAAGAAATAAAGTAGTTTTTCTGGACACTGATATAGCTGTCTCATCTTTTTATTAATTTTTGTGACCTTTTGGTGAAAATCTTTATGAACAGCTTTCTCATTTTGTCATTGCCCATGAACTTTTACTTTGATGAACTGCTTTCAATAAAATAAACATAAAAAAATTACTTAGTTAAATCAGGACTATAGAGAAGATATGATAACATTTACTATATTTTTTCATTAGATGATATAATGCTATGAATTATCCTGGAACAGAAGCATGGCTTTTTGTCCAGGAGTATAGCTTGTTTCAACTCATTTTTCAATACATTATGGTAAAATTCAGATTATTAATGTATTATATAATGATGAACAAAAAGAATCTTCATATTCCAGAAAGTCAACATATGTTTTCCTACAAAATGATTATACTTTGAACTACCCCATTGATGATGCTATATTCTTACATTCCATACTCCAGGGGTGGGCAACTGTTGGTAAACATTACACACCAGACTTTTTTCTGGCATGCAAAACAGGGTTCACCTAAAAAATAAATATCTAACATCTTTACCAAGTTGTGTATTTTAACTAAATGGAATACAATTTTATTGAGTAAAGTAAATACTAAATAAAAATGCAATAAAGAAACAAACACTATCAACTGTTTTAGTAATAATAAGCAATAAGAAAATGAAATAAACATCCTATTTTCGAGACATCTATCTCTGTGATATACTGAATTACAAGCAGCATTGCCAATTTAGCAGAAAATGCACTAAATCTAGCTTTCCTGTAGCATCATTTAACCACTAGACTAAATAATATGTTCCCAAAAATTTTGGTTTATATTTAGTTATTTTGGCATGCACACTTAAAAAGGTTGCCCAGCCCACCATAGACTTTCTCTTAATCTTTAACTTTTAATGATGGACTTGGGCTTTATAATATGTCACTATTCACTTAAGAATTTTTTTTTGTGTTCTGTATAGGTTTCAAACTGCACAGCCTTGTGTTTGATTGTCAATATCCATTGAGAACAGATTTTCTGAAATTGCAGTTTGTCATGAATAATATTCTGCATTATATTTTTATTAATTCCAAATTCAGACTAATTGATGTATTGTTATATACTAATCATTTAAAATTGCATTTTATTCAGTAAACCAATTGTAACATTGCATGACATTTTCAAACAATTTTTTTATTTTTAAAAAGCATTTGATAAATAATAATGCAATTTTATGATTTTGAAGATAAATTTAAAAGATAACAGTTGTTTTGCAATGTAAGTTACATAAACAAGTAATGATTTTATTTCTTATTTTGCATTATATTTCTAACAATAATGGTAGTCATTTCTGTTTATTATAGAAATTTTAACTTTAATATTAAATGTTNGGGTATATATATTTTTTAATATATATATAATAAATTTTTTTAAAACCCTTAGGGAGTAGGGGGAAGTTTGTATTACATTTTTGGATAATTGCAGGATTATCCTAGTGTGTTATTACATTTTTTTTTATGTCCATAACAT